AACAAACAAACAAAAACCAGGCAGATGGAGCAGTGGGCACGACAGGAGAGGTCTGCTGCTCCATATGGGTTTCTCCCTGGCTGGCTGGAATCGAACCTGTGCAGCAGAGGCTGTGGACAGCGTCACAGTGGTGCGCTCAACCTGCTGCACCACCAGGGATGCCCCTGCTCTGAGCATTTTATGCACCTAAAAATCTTGGTGTTCTTCAGGGGGTGTATACTAGGATTCAGCAATTTCCACACAGAGCACTTAAAGCTGGTGGGTTAATAATGTGAAACTAATCATTTACTCAGATGGACCAATGACAGGGATGGCAATTCAGATGCAGCTATCACGGTTACTCATGAATTGAAGTCATTTGGTGAATATGTACCATCTTCAGTTTTTAATCTGCCGCTCGTCATAAACTAGTCACCTATCTCAAAGCCAGCGCTTTCTTCATTCAGTAAATGTAGCCTTCCAAGTGACAAAAATTCCTGAATGTGCGGTTCTAGTAGAATGTCAACAAAATTGTTCAAGTATTTGTCAAATACAATTGGATAGGTTGATGTCTACTTTGGGATTTCTTCTTCTTTCTCATTTCCTCAGATGGTCATTTTTGTAAGGCTGCACTAGTTTGGTACAAGACAGTCTTAAAGTTTGCAGAAAACAAAAACCCACCTTTTTTTCTTTTTAATGGCAGCTTATTTGTGACAACTAGAAATGTCCATGGTGGACTCACTTACAAATGAAGTGATGATATCACTGCAATGTCTTGACACTCGCTAACATTGAGGTCACGTTCTGGTGGGGTAGGGGATGATCCTGACTTCAGGAATAGTTATTTCTACCACCTCAATCGCCATGCCATTCTAGCAGAGCCATCAAACAATTCAATAACAAAATTAGTCTGATCTGAATTAAATGACGGAGGTATTTGAAAGTGTTGAGTTAGTTGAAAGTGAACATATAGTTGAGTCAAAATGCTTGGTTTATTATTTGTTAAACAAAGAAGACATCATGGAGGCTTCCTTGTGAAAGATGCATGCACCAAATAGCAGACTATTGTATGAAGGGATTCCTGTTATCGAGGTCCTCACTACAGCCCTGTGGGGCTGTCACTTCCAGAAACAAGTCCAAGGATTGAGCAAACCTCAGGTTAGGACTGAGAGACAAAAACCCAAACCAAAACAACAAAGAAAGAAATAGAAATAGAGTGTCCTGCGTTCAACCGTGAACTTCATAAGGGCAAGAGCTTTGTCTATTTTACTTATTAACCCCAGACACTGCACCAAAGCATAGCAAGCGGTCGACGAATATCAGGTGAATAAATAAACGAATAAATGATAAATGAGATTCAGATGAAAACACAGCAGGGATCCAAGCCCCAGGAGATCTGAATTGGACTGCAATCCAGGCCCCCGTCTGAGTCCGGCTGACAGGGGATGTGTGCAGGCACAGTGAGGACTGGGGAGGGGGAGCCAGATGGGGGGTGAGGGTGGGGAAGGACATGGGAGTTTTAGGATTTCACTGCTCTAATGAGACACATCTTCTCTTTAAAACACTCTGGCTTAAGGGCATTCCCTCAGGATTAGCAGATGAGAAAATACCAAGATTTCAGCATCGTGAACGACAAATAGGTTCAAGTTTGATGATTTAGCAAGGAGAATGAGTTGGGTATTTTCACTGGTTAATACCACATGATGCATTCCAGAGACCCAGATTCATCAATACCAAAATGCAGGTGACTGTACTGGGAGGAAACATATCCTGGAAGGAAATCGTTCTGTGCACATGACTTCAGAAGGGAGTTTTCCCCCTCATTTACCTTCCCTATTATTCTTGGAGCATCAAGGGAAATTTCCCACGTGACAGTCTCATCTTGACTTCTCTTAACTGTTTTCGTCTGGCGCTAAAATAATTTTTTGCAGTGGTTAAATAGTCTCACGTACTATATAATCTTTGACTAGTGCAGAAAACATATCTCGAGGAGTCTAACTCTTAATCATTTCTGAGACCACACTGAAGAACTAGACTCTCTCGTATTCAAAACACTTGGCATCCTGAGAAAAGACTTAAGATATTTCCACAGCAAACAAGGGTGTTGTGATGCTGCGAGGTCTGAGTCGAGGTTCTCTCTTCCCGAGTTGTTATCACTAATTAGTATTCGTTTCTTTCCTTTTTTTTTTTTTTTTGGTTTAAATTGAAGCAACATGGCATGATAAGATTTAGAAGTTCAAAGTGTGCATCATTGAAAATCAGCATCTACATTTACTATATTAAGTTTGTTACAGGGCAGGGAGGGGGCAGCCCAAACCCCGCAAACCTGCCTGCTCTAAATGGGTTCTGCCATCCGCCGCATCAACACAAAACATATGAGACTTTAATGGGAAGGAACTTTAATAAAACTAGGAAACAACACAGGAAAGGCAAAGAGTCTAGTTTCTAAATCAAGCACCCAAAGTTACCCGTCCCCCCGTGGGTAAAACTCCATCCATATGGGATCGGCCCAGAGCAAGGCCCCGAAGCCTGCCCCAAGTCTAAAGCATCTTCCAGTGGGGACCCCCAGAAAAGGGTCAGAAACAACCAGACAAGTCCGGAAGGAAAAGAGCAAAATCAACATCAAGATAAAAGCTGCCATGGTCACCTCCCCACGGGTCTCCCCCACATCTGTGTCACCCCGTCCACGACCAAAAGACAAGCGCAGTTTCTCTACGTGTCTCTCGGCTCCATGCGCCTCCTCCAGGTCTCCTGACTCCATCCTGCTTCCTTCCTTCCTCAGTCTCCTCTGCAGCTTCTCCTCTTCCTGCTCAGCTCCACCCTCCTTTTGGGTGGGGCAGGGAATCTGGACCCTCCCCCTTTCCTGGGGACCCCCCTGTTACAAGTTCACCCTGACATCCCCAATTCTCTCCTTCAGTGTGTACTAGTCATTAGACCACAGCACAGAAGCCTCCAACCTGTAGTGACTGAACGGCCATCAGGGACACCGCTCACTTACTTGATTCTGAGAAGTCTCTGAAGGTCACCAGTAAGCACTTGGCACTTTTCTCCCTCCATCTCACTTGGTCTTTGAACAGCTTTAAACGAAACTGATTATTTCCTATTTCTTTTAGTTTCGTTGACACCTCTCATAATTGGTTTTTCCTCGACCAATCTACCAGGTCTTTCTTGCCAATCTTACTGATTCCTTTCCTTCAGCTTACCTTCCAGATGCTGAGTGTACAGGACATAGCTTAGCTGCCTCAGAACCATGCCCCCCACCCCAGCCCACTGTCCTCCTGGCAATTCTGACCTTAGGAGGTTTCACCAGAGAGCCCAGCTTAAAACATTACCTCTGTGACCCGCACATTCAGTCCGTCTTTAATGAGACTCCAAACTCACAAATCCCATATCTGACCTGACTTACCCTCTTAGCTTTCAGGCAGGCATCTCAGAGTTAACCGAGCCAAACAGAACCCTCGATTTCATGCAACTGATTCCCTTTTTTGGGGTAACTGGCACCCCCATCATCCAAGCCAGCGATGCAGGAGTCACCATCCCCTTGTTTCCACACCTGATCAGTCACAAATCCTGTCTGTCTGCTCTGTCTCTAAAATACGTCTGCATTTCTCCTAGCCCACCTTTGTGATCTTATCTCGGTCATCGCCACTTCTTGCTTGGATTATTGCAATGACCTCCGACCTTCTGTATCTGACCTTTCTCACTTCCCCCTTTCACTCCTCACATAAGAGCAAGCAGAGTGACGTTCTGAACAGTGTGAATCAGACATGCCACTCTTCTTAAATTGCCCTGGTAGCTTCCTGTTGCATTTGAAATAAAATGCAAACTCTTTGCATAATCTACACATCCTGTCATTACCTCAGGAGAAGGCACCATTCCTAAGCGCAGAAACTTTTCTTATTCACAATTTTCAATTCAGGGAAGGTCAGAGAGGAGGCCGAGACAAGGTCGCCACTATTTTCAAGATGGCGCCTCGTGCCTTCACAGTAACTAGCTCTTTCCGACACAGCACATACAGTTAAATGATGAATACAGAAATGACCTACAGGACCGATAGGATTAGCACGTGACATTTGAAATTAATCTCGCTGGATTTAGTGACAAAACATCTTGTTTTATTGTCACCATAGCACCAGTAAATATAGCGAGGACTGTGGTTGGCACAGAGGAGAGGGAGCAGGGACATGAGACAGTAAACTCGAGAATTGAGTTGCTAATACTAACTTGGGGAGAACTTTTACTCAGTGATGAAAAGAAAACAGAAAAAAAGAACAAAGTTGAGGAGAAGCAGGCAGCTGTCAGTCTCCGGTGGGGAAGGGGAGGCAGGGTGGACAGCTCCTGAGCGGAGAACAGAGCCTTATTTATAGCATAAATATAGCATAACTGCTAATAAGCCTTATTTATAGCATTTACTATCTCCATGCAACTCTCTCATTAGGAGACACAATAAATTAAAATTAGTCTTGGATGACTGTATTTTACTTAAAATAACCAAGTTATGTTTGGTCACTGAATTGTCTAATGTTTTAATTATTTTCTGATTACAAAACGTAAACATTTTATTTTCCAATTAACAAGATAGTGATTTTTCTTTTTTGGTAACAAGAGGCTGTATTTTTCAAACGCCAATTTATCGGGTACTATAAAAAAGTACAACTGCTGCTACGCCATGGTTTCTGTCCTGTTTCTAGGTATAAAAATAGTTTCCAGAGTTTGTGTTGATTTAGTGAAAAAAACATGGTTGTAATGAAGATTTTTCTAGATTTTGATTCATTCCCGGCAACATTTCATCTTTTCGAAACATCTTTGCCTGCTGCTATGGCAATCACTGTCCTGAAAAATAAGTCAGCTAATGAGCCACATTACATGTGTCAGTACAACAGAAAAGTTCTTGCTTTCTTTGCCATAAAGCAACATTTCAAAGGAATGCACTTCTTTTGGCGTGTCACCAAGCCATCTCTCCAGGAGAACACACCGCCAGCGGAAATAACAAGGCTTGTTTTCCACCATTCTGTTCCTACCTCAAATCCCTGTGGTCTTCCCAGGCTCTCTTTAATATGTTTCCACGCAACGAGAATCTCTGACACAGACATGCTTGTAGCCCGGACGTCCGTGGGGGCAGCGGTGGGCTCTGCGGGAAGGAAATTGGAAATAATCAACCGCCAGGTAACAAGTTATGTCTATCAAAGTATCGCGCCTGCATCTGCCAGGTGCTATTTCCTTCGGCCTTATTTTTGAAATGAAGTACTGCTGCAGTTATGAAAAACAGAACAAAATGAAACGATGATATTTCTGGGTTTCTCTGCTCGGCTCACCTTGCCAACAGCAAATGAGAAATATCACACGCAAGGAAAGCTGATCGTTATCCTGAGATTAACTGGGATGGTTCCGGAGAAAACTGATTTAAGTCGTGTGCAAGTCTAACATGACGGTCAAAAGGCTGCACGATGGAGGCAAGCTTGGCTTTTTTTTTTTTTCTTGTACCTGTTGGTTTGATTCTTAAAAAAAAATATTTCCTTATTTATTTCCTTTTATGCAAATTACATCATCGGCCCTGAGCCCTGGTTCTTTCGGTCACACGAGGCTGAGAGTCCTTATTTCGTAGATTTTTAACGTTAGTTTTAGCTGGAATAATACATATAAAACATTTAGCGCCATGCTTGGCACTTAAACATTCATTGACAAATATCACTTCCTAGCATTTTATTTTCACCTTGTGCTGGTAAGAGTCTCGATTTCATTAGTTTTGTTTATGTCGCTCTTACCACGAACTACATTTCCCCGATGTACGAGGACCATGTGATGAACCATATGATATTTAAAAGGCACGTGTTGACTTTTAAGAACCGTGTGGACCGAAGAGGAATGTACCCGAAGGTCTCAGCGCTGTTGCTCATAACCACCTTTTCATTTGCCCCCTGCTCAGCGACCTTTCCTACTCCTTTTCTCCAGGACGCCGTGTCTGACTGGCATCCGTCAAGAGGTGCACTTTGTTCGAAGTTGCACTCCGTGTGAGGAACAAAAAATCGCAGCTCTGACACTGCCGAAACATAAATCCGATGTCACCGGCACAAGTTAAATGAAACAGTAGAAGAAAGACTCTGCACTGGTTCAAACAGTTCTAAACAATTCGATTAAAAAAACCCTACCCTGCACATATTGTAGAGACTCGATGCTGATTCCACATCACTGCTAAGAGTTCAGGTTCATCCGTTGAAAATGATTTTTTGGATTGAGGGAACCATATGACAAAGACAGAGTATTTCAGTAGATCTGCCTGTTCTGCTCCCAATGCTGTCTCGGGTGAGTCCTTTCACACCCCCCACCCCCCGCACCTCTGGCCTGCACCCCAGTACTTGTAGGCATCCATAAATAAAAATAAATCTTTTTAAAAAGATTTGAGAAAAGAGTATTAGAAATATTAAAAGAATTGTAACTGTTTTTTTGGGGTCTCTCCCTTTTTAATGGAAGATGGTCACGAATCTATCTAGAAAAACTTTGTATGTTATTAATTGAAAAAAATCAGCCCCACCCCCAATTTTTTCTTATTACTATTCAAGAATCCCACAAAAGACTTTTTTTCAAAGGTACATGTGGCACCGAGCAACCATTTGCTTTTAGTTAAGCTTTCATTAAAATCACATGCTATTAATTGTGTAAACTCAGAATATTTTGGCAAATTCACCTTAATCTTTACACAGAAGCTGACGTTAATTCCTGCCATGCTCTAAATCATAATTTCTCATTCTGTCACCCTTTGAATATCTGTTATGCTTTTCTTTTGCTCTTTTGTTATGCTCATTCTTTTGCTTTTTTTCTTTTGCTCAAACTTTTCAGTTTCCTACTATTGTGCATCTACCTGATTTTCGAAAAGCATCTGAAAAATGTTTCTGCTTCCATTTCATTCTAGAATTTGCATCAACAGACTTGAAACAAATGTTTTTTTCACTGCTGGTTAGCAGGAGTTAAGATTCTTGATATTGTGAGAAAATGAAAGGAAGTGTGATGGCTTTAAGGCGCACACAACGTGACCTCAGGTTTGGGACCTGACTTATTTGAAAAGGACCAGACACAGGATATCATTTGCTATTTGGAAGCAGCTCTGTGTACCTTTTGAATGAATTCATTGCCCAGATTTGTGTGCCAAATGTCTTAGCTTGGCTTGTACATTGTTGAAGCAATTACATCTCTGTCAAAGAAGACTGCAGGGAGATAAATACTTGCAAAAGCACAAAATAAATGGTTGGGCAGCAGTTTTGCTATAACTCTAAAGAAAAAACAAATATTTATCAGCTTTCTGTATCACTACACAAGTTTAGGTACTTCTTAAACAGAAGTAAGGAAGCTAAAAAATTAAAATAAAGGAATACGTTTAAAAAATTGTGAAATCTAATTCCCAAGCAAGTGCCCTAATTTCTATTTAAAATCTCTGAGAATTTTTAATCAGCATCAGGCACAAGCCAACATTCCATACTTGCATTCTTACTGTACATGACAGTTGCATCTCACTGAGGGTAAATGAATCAAAATGAAAAAGGAGGCCTTCCTGATGGCCTAGGGGTTAAATCTCAGGCTATCACCCTTAAGGCTTGAGTTTGATCCCCAGCCAGGGAGAATCCCACATGGCACAGCAGACCTCTCCTGACTTGCCCGCTGTTCCCCTCAGCAGTGTATTTCAGTAGATCTGCCTGTTCTACTCCCCACTCTCTCTGGTGAATCCTCTCACCCCCCGCACCTCTGGTCTATACCCCAGTTCTTATATGTATAAATAAATAAATCTTTAAAACATTAAACTGACAGCAAGGAAGCAGCTGATTCCTGCTCCATCTCTTAAGAGCCAGTTTGGGATAAAAAGACATCCTACTACTGAATGGGACAAAACATTTTCACACCATATATCTGACAGGGGGCTGATATCAACGATCAACAAAGAACTCATACAACACAATAAAAACAAAACAAATAGCCTAATAAAAAATTGGCAGAAGAACTAAACAGACACTACTGCAAAGAAGACATAGAGGCTACAAACAGGCACATAAAAAAATTCTCATCATCACTTATCATCAGGGAAGTGCACATCAAAACCACAATGAGAGATCAGAAATAACGAGCCTTGACACCATTGGTGGGAAGGCAGACTGGTCTGCCCTTTGGGGAATCAGGATGGAAGTGTCTCGGAACGCTACAAATGGATCTGCCATATGACCTAGTGATTCTACCCCTAGGAATTTACCTGAAATATTCAAAACCATTAATGCAAAAGGAAGCTTATTGCAGCAGTGTTTACTATAGTTGAATTATGGAAACAGCCTAAGTGTCCCCAAACAGATGAGTGGGAAAGAAGATGAGGTGTGTTCACACAGCAGAGTGTTACTCAGCCAGCATGCTGCCATTTTGGCAACGTGGATGGATCTGGGAGGGATTTAGCTAAATGAAATAAGTCAGGAGAAAAATAAATACCAGGTGGTGTCATCCATTTGTGGAATATTGTGTTATAAAGCAAAGAGTCCGATAAAGACAAGCTTAAAATCTAACCCTTGAAAGCTGACTACAGAAATGAGGTGTCCAGAGTGGGGTGCATTGGGGGAAGGAAGCACAACGATGGTGGATTAGGGGTGATTTGGTGGTGGGTGCATTATGGTGGCAATGATGGGGGTATCCAAATATTACCTCAGTTAAAAACAAAAAAATTACAAATAATAAAAAATAAATTATGAAAAAATTAATGTACATTTTTAAAGTATTAAAATAAGAATGTTAAACAAGTGGATACAATGCATTCATGTTCTCTATTGATTTTATGGGCAGCTGATAGTGGTTTTATGTCCTTTCATCAAAAAGAAGATGGAGTCTATTGAAATGCTTTAATTGTTGGGTTAGGGATAAATTTGCTCTTACAGGATTGATACTGCTTTGACCAAATATCGAGTCAACTGACAAGGTTTCTACTACTGAATGAAGGAAGGGTTTAATCAAATTCCATTCTCTTTCTTTATAATAAGGGGGCAGAGTTTCAGTGTTTGTTATCTTTTTGAATTACACACGGATTGCGATTTAGAAACCAAGGCTGAGTCTTACGTTAAAGGCACAAAGTAAAAAAAAAGGAGTCAGTTTCGGTGTACAAAAGAGATTTTATAGGGAACTCATATCATTCATCTTCTTGTTATGGACAAATAACTGGCAGAGGAAAAGATGAAACAAGATTAAAGACAAAGAGATAATAATATAAAGAATAAACAAAACAGATGAGGGAACAACCAAGAGGAATAATTGCCATTTAATGTTTTTTTTGCCAAATCCTATTTAAAACTCATTATACATGTTGCTCAAGCCTCCCAACATCCTTACTATCACTATCATCACTTTCCAGATGAGGAGACTGAGGGGTAAAGGGGGCGATAAACAACTAGCAGCTGTGAAAGGGTGAGGCGGCTCTGAGTGGACAGTCCAGGCCTGGCCACACGCCGTCCTGCTTCTGGGCAGGTGTTTGTGTCAGACGCACCCGGTGCTGTTCTCTCTGTGGCAGCTCTTTTTCCTCCTTGATCTCCACCCCAACTTCTCCCAAGAACCCTGCTGATGCTGGGATCCCCACCTGAGCCCTCCAAGCCTTGCCAGAAACCACCTAAATGTCCAGCCTCTCCTGTTTAACCCTGCCAAGGTATACGACCTACTCCTTTTATTCTTGCTTCATGAAGGTTTTGATCATTTTGAACAACAGTCGCACCGCCCTTCACAGGTCCTGGGCTGGCAGGCGTCTCTGGCCTTCTCCTGATCTGCAAACCACAGGACACGGTTGCCACGCCCGGTTGTGTCTCAAGCATTTTGACCAGTATTTGGGGATCCATGTTTGAGATTGTACCGGCGCTACGTCTACCAGACTCGAAGACGTACGAAAATCTCTTTTTTCTTTTCCTTATGATAATATTAATTGGGGCATGGCTAACTCCTTCCCTCCAATCTTGGGGTATGAAGTGGAGAGACTGATAATAGATTTCAGTCTTTAGATTAAATTTTGGAGCCGCATTACCATGCACATGAATTTAGACGATACACTTGTGTTCAGCAAGCTAGCAGCTGGAGTCCTCCAAGTAGTGTGGGGGGATGAATTTGTAATATGGAGTACACATCTGACTTCCCAGGAGGGGTGGGCAGCAGCATTAATCAAAGGAGAGTTTAATAAACTCGTTGGGAGAAGGGTTATGGCTTCATTACTTAAAAATTCGGCAACGGCAGCTGTAGTTGAACTTTTACAGGCACTAATCCAAATGGATCATCTGGCAAAGACAGGAAATTATTCCTTGTATTTTACAACTAATATGCCAATTTATTAATTTTCAGGTTCACATAACTCCCACTGAGTTCTTTTTCAGCTAAGAACTTATCTGGAGAGTAACACCTTATGAATGTGTGGTTTTAATTTGAGCTGAGGTAGCTTCGTTTGCCAGGGGATAATTGCTCATCATTTTCTGCAAACAAGGAGAGGCTTTTGGGTTTTAATAAAAATAAAAGCAGCGTTCTTTTTACATATAAGACAAAAGCCAAAAAAAAAAAAAAACAACTTAGAAAAGTCTCAGGCACAATCACAAATAAACATATCATTCAACTTCTAATGAATCAATATTGAATTTTCCTCCATTTTCCAATTAAATGTAATTGAATGTTCAGGTTCTTTTCCCTTCCAAAGCTGCAGTCATGAGACCTAAGTGGAAAATTAATATACGTTTGGCTAATAAGTAGTCTAGAAATCTGTAAGTGAAAGTCTACTCGATTATTCATTTTGAAGAACCAATGATTTCATCCCCTTTATTTGCATTTTAAAATCACTTGTGCTGAAAATTCGCTATTCTTAAAAAATTAGGATTGTTTCCAAAATGACAGTCCCATACAGGATTACCCACAGAGACCTGAGGTCAAACCAGGGCTAGGATACCCAGATTCTTGCTTGGCTTAAAGGGGACAGATTGACAGATTCGCAGGTGCATGGTTGTCCTGGCAGGCGACTACCTCTCCTTCTTGGGTCACGTCAGACGCTGCTTGGCACTGACAGCCATTCAGGTCCACTTCTGTTGTGGAAACCTTGAAAGGCTTCAAAGGCTCCAGGGTGTTCACAAAAGAACCACGTGCAGCTTTTCTGACAATGCTGTAGGGTGGAGTCAACCTCAGACTCACAAAAGCCAAGGCCTTCTCCCAAGGAAATACCAAGTATCAACATTTATAAAGGATGAGCCCTTCAATAACAGGTCACATAAGGTGTTCCCTATGAAAATGCAATTTTCATTTGCGCCCCAACAGCTTTCTTAAGAAAAAGAAGCAAAGCGTGGAAGGCGTGGGGGATGCCCAGCCCTGCGGAAGAGAGTTCTGGACTCGAAGGGCATTGTGCATAGGGTGCTGGAGGAAATAGGCTAGAACCGCGGAGTGAGCTTTGGGGTCCTGGTGATCTACGCTTCCCTGCAGACATGAGTTCTGGGGACTGCATTGGTTAAAACATCTTCACGGCCCACGTCAGCTGTGAGGAGGAGGCAGGGATTGAGTGCTCCGGGTACGACCAGGAAGAACGTTGCCCAAGGACAGCCCTTGAAAGCCAGGCCCACGCCTCCTGCTTCACTCTCTGTCAGAACACGGAGGGGTGTCCTGACCAACAGGTGGGCTAGGCTGGAGCAGGAGCAAAGTCGTGGAACGTGTGTCCTGGACACACACAGTCTCACCCCAATGTGCTGGGCCTGGCAAGAGCGTGACTTTGAGGGCCTGCGGCTCTGTGCAAGCGCCCACGGGCACGGAGGAGGGTCTGCAGGGGAGGAGGAAGCTATTTTCTGAGTTTATTCCATGTCTTGACTCTCAAAAAATGCTGCAGTCTTGAAAACATTCCCTTTTCTTCAGGCACAGCAATTTGTCGGGCCCCTGAGAGGGATGCTGATGTCCCACCGTTTAAGACATAGCGAAAGGGGTTCGGTTATTCCTGCCTACCCTGGAAAGATTAAGCTACAAAAGAGTATTTTAGAACAGAGAATGAGCTGACAAAATTTCAGTGTGAGATCTGCAGTGGCTTCTAAAGATGTTTTAGTGGAGACTTTGATTTTTGCAGCGGAGGGGTGAGGCTCAGCCGGGTCCCGCCGTGAGCGTCTGCAGAGGACACAGCTTCTGCTTCAGGCAAAGGTCCTTCTCTCCACGGCCTGCCTTTCCCGGCTGATGTATAGTAACGATGCTGAACCTTTACTCAGGCTTGCACAAACGCTCCGAATGAAATGTTTTTTTAGTGAGGAAATGTGAACTATCTGTTTGGATCTCATTGCTAGAACAAAGGTAGACTGGGTCCAGATTGAAGCTGCCTGGTAGCTTTCACATTTAATCTACCATCATCGTATGTCAGTATGAAATATGTTATAGCACCAACTGCAGTGTCTTTTTTTTTTTTTAAAGATTTATTTATTTATGTACACAAGAGCTGGGGTGTAGGCCAGAGGGGCAGGGGGTGAGAGGACTCACCAGAGCCAGAGTGGGGAGCAAGACAGGCAGATCTACTGAAATCCACTGCTGAAGGGAGCAGCAGGGAGAAAGGAGAGGTCTGCTGTGCCGTGTGGGTAGCTCCCTGGCTGGGGATCGAACTCGTGTTGCAGTGGCTCCAGAAAGCTTCATAGTGCTGAGACTTAACTCCTTGTGCCACCAGGGAGGCCCAACTTCAGTGTCTTTGAAAGAAGATGTGCATCTTGCATGCCCGGCTGAAAGAACCTCCCCCCAAGAGCAGCCCATTCCAGGTTTCAGGAAATGCAGCACAAACAAGGCATTATGATCTGAGCTCAGAGGCACACAGCAGGGAGTCAGAGGCAGCGTAGCACTCCCTACAGGACACGCTCACTGTCCTCCAGCTCACCTCACATGGCTGGAGCTGGGCACTTGACAGTAAGGTTGATGAAAAATAAGGAAAGAAAGAGAGAGAGAGGAAATCTGTACTTTCTGAATAAACATGTACTTATAAATAAATTTTTGGAGTAACAAATAATAGAAAGCATCACTATTACGGCATACATTAATTGTATTCACTATAACAACAAAACACCATTATTCCATGCATTCTGCTGAGATAGTTCAGGGCCGCGCGTGAAAGCACGAGCTGGGGCGTGCTGATCTGGGTTAAAGCCCCAGCTCTGTAACTTACTATGGTTACTTACAAAGGGCGCTGACTGGTGTGAATTTGAGTTCCAGCTTCTGGAAAAGCAAACGGGGTCTTGGATCCCTAAGTCCGTTGGTTGTAAGCATCAGATCGAACACTTACTTTATGACATGCGAGGCAGCTGCACTGTCCCACAGAAATCAGTCACTACCTCTGTGCTTCCATTGTTCAAATGACCTAATTTATCCTTCCCACAGTACTGAGAATATTAGCCATTCTCTTGAGCTCCTCAAGTCACACATGTGGCCACAGAGGCAGTAAAGGGTCAGTTTAGATCGACAATAATTACTACAGAAGTCGCCTTTGGTGGAACATGCCAGCTTCAGGGAATGCAGTGTTGTTTTCACTTGTAAGACCAATCGAAATTCTGCAACTGAGGAGAAAAAGTTCTAAAAGGAAAAGCTATTGGGCTTTGCCTCGCTCATAAAATTGAATCTCTATATTAAAAACTTCAAGGCACTTAGGATTTTGGTGTAGAAAGTGGAGCTTGCACTTAGCATTCTCCCTACAGGCTGTGACCAGGAGGGAGTCACTGACTGCTGGTCGACTCACACGTAGAACAGGCATCCTACCTGGAGGACCTCCTACCTGCCAGCTTTATCTTAAAATGGAATAAGGTTACACCTATGAAGGCAGCATGTTACGGGAAAATCAGGGATTTAATGGCAAGACGGACCTACAGCTAATTCTCAGTTCAAGCTGTGTAATTGAGTAAGTTCTTTAACTCTCTGAACATGAATTTCTTTCTCTGCCTTGGGGGTGACAACATGCCTATTAGATAGGATTGTCATGAGGATTTAATGATGTCACGTATGAAAGTTTCCAATGGAAACCTTTGTCTGCTACTTCTTGATCAGCACAGTGTTGTGGTCATGAGATTAGAAAGCAACATTTATTGTCACATAAATGAGCTTTTGTTCACATTTATCTGATGCACATTTAAATGTAGTATGTTACAACGTTCTCTGAATTTCTAACAGAAGAGGATTGAGCCAGGGTCCACCCAGAGAACAGAACACTCTGCAGCCAGTACTAATATTGTGCTCCTTACGGAAAGGAATTTTGCCATACAGGGTCAGGGAGTGAAGAACATAAAGCTACATCCATGAATGATTCATTCTTTTAAATAAAAAATGTTTTGGAAAAAGTGTAAAGTGTAATGGGCCTTGAGCTTTATTTTCTTTTTGGCATATCTGTGTTATGAAACACTGGAAGTCGAAAGACAATAATGCGGATAAGGAAACTGACCTCCTTCTGCTGAGCAGATGACCACGATCTGGCTGAAGGGCCCGTCCCCTTTGTTGTTGTAGACGCCGACCTTCACCTCAAAGGGCGTAAGCGGAGGGACGCTCTCATCGCGGTAAATGAACTTGGAGGCTTCCGAGGATGTCACCATCTTCTCCTTCCAGCCTCGTGTTCCGTTGGGTCTGAAGGCCACGATGTAGCCAAAGCCCTCCCCATTCTGGAACTCTTCAGATACTGGCTAAAAGAGAAGGATGCGATTAATTACCAGAAAAATAACTGGCTAAAAAGACACAGCTTCCAAACCTTTATTTAAAAAGTATGAATAACTAGGGGCCTCCCTGGTTGTGTAAGGGGTTAAGATGCAACCTATGAAGCTGTTCGCAGCCTCTGCAGCACGAGTTCGATCCCTGGCCAGCCAGGGAGCTACCCACATGGCGCAGCAGACCTCTCCTGTCTCCCCGCTGTTCCCCTCAACAGTGTATTTCAGTCCGTCTGCCTGTTCTGTTCCCCACCCTGTCTCTGGTGAATCCTCTCACCCCCACACCTCTGGCCTGTACCCCAGCTCTTGTATGCATGAATAATTTTTTTTTTTTAAAGTATGAATAACTAGAGAACAGAAGCATGTTCAATCTTTGTACCACACTGGAAGCCAACATACCCCGTCACTTAGAAGTCCCTGGAAACTTCAAAAACTTTAAAGGTAAATGATGAGAAATAGCATCTGTTGGTATTCAAGAAAAGTATCGAGAGTATTGAAAACTTGAGGGAAAAAGATTTGCTCCAGCTAGTCACATATATAAAGTGAAGGTGTCTAGTTCTGCACAGGAATTTCACCTGCAGGGGAGGCAGCACCTGGCCCAGGCGTGAGGAAAATCTGGCCCCTGGTAACGTGGCTACAAAGGCCTTTGCACAGAAGATTTAGCAGATATCAGCGCAAAGTCACTGCATCCAGGGCTTCCGTGTGGTTTGTTGGCTTCCAATGTGGACTCATGGGGTAGTTCTTACTGGGGGAGGGTTTTTTCCGGTATATTTTTTCATTTTTCTGAAAAACCATCATGGATTTCTTCCGTTGTCTACCGCAAACATTTAAATTTCCAAATTCTAAAGCATTGCTCTGTGAGCTCCATGGTATGTTGGAAAATAAGGCAAGTAAACATTAAGAAAGGAAAGTAGGGTCAAGGAAGATAAATGTCCTCCTGCTTCCTTTCCTGTGACAGAGGAAACTCTGGGGAGCACGTGATGAGGGAGACAAAAGAACACAACTTTCACAACCAGGTGCCAGTTGCGCTGCTTACCAGAGAAAGGCATAAATTTCTCCGCTTCCCCAGTGGTCGTAGCCTCCAAACAGGCCACTTAACTGTGAAATAACTAAATATCAAAAACAAATGTCCGAAGTAATTTGTGAGAGGTTGTGTCAGTTCTTCAAACATTGTTCTGAGGCCGTGTGATGGGACGACACCCTCAGACTTGCAGAGAAGTTGACAGGGCCTGGTGTGAACGGAGGACTCTTTATGTCGCAGCCTTTGCCCGTGTGGGCGACGGTAGAGTGAATGCCTCCCCACCCCACCGAAATGAACTAGTTGGTCTCTCTGCACAGCACAAGTACACACATGCGGCCTTGTTTTCTACGGAACCAACACATTCTGACATGGAGCAAAGACTTTCTTACCTCCCAGGCGATGACCAACTCGTGTCTTCTTCCGCTTCTTCCACTCACGTTGGTGGGGGCTGTCTTGGGAACTGTGGGGGGAAGTCAGCTGAGAGTGAGGACGATGCTCAGGTGTGGGATTTAAGTGTCCTTACAAGTCACATCATAACGGTGCTCAGGTTGGGTAAAATCAACAAGCAACTGTAAACCAGAGACACGGTACGGGGGTGGGGAGGGAGGGGGTAGGATCAAAACAAGGGGGGAGGGAATTGTACGGGGACTATAACCAAGATGAGAATGCATACATTGTGCAAAAATGAAAAATGATGTAAAAATATATATAAAATAAAAAACAAATCCTGAAGTAAGCAAATAAGTTTGAGGTTAGAATGGCCATATTCAATATTCAAACAAATGGTGACATTCTCCACTTTTAAATCTATGATGGAGTTTATACACACACACACACACACATTCCATATATTATACATATTATATATATATTATATATGTATATATTCCATATTATATATATTATATATAATTATATATTCAATATATTATACATGTATTATATATTATACATGTATATATTCCATATAATATATGGAATTATATATATTCCATATATTATACATGTATTATATATTATACATGTATATATTCCATATAATATATGGAATTATATATATTCCATATATTATAGAATATATATTCTATATATTATAGATATTCCATATTTATACACACACATATATTTATACACATATTTACACATACACACACGCATATATATATTTATACACATATTTATACACACACACACATATATGTGTGTGTGTGTATAAATATGGAATATCTATAAATATGGAATACACACACACACACACACACACACACACAATATCTTACAATGGCCATAGTCAGCGCTTCCAAACCAGGCCTCTTGCAACTGGTCTGTGGAAGTGAGGTAGCGAGGCCTAAATAAGAGTTAACACTATAGACCGAGCAATGGTTGGTTAAATTTCATCTGACAAGTTTTCTTTTTCTTCGAGACTCTTTTCTGTGATCCCAGGAAGAGCAGAGACCCTGGAAAATCCATGGATGGACGTCGGCCTCACTGCCTTAACCAGAACTCACAGGAGCTCCAGTTCAAAGAAAACTTACCAAACACTTCCACAGAGTGATAAACTATAGAAATGAGTAAACATTAGAAAAACCCAAAACAACAAAGCACAAAATTATCAAGAATGAGTCTCTCTGCAAAATGCAAAACACGGGCACTCTGCGAAACTTTTTCGAATGAATAACTATTAACAGAATAAATGTGTCAAAGGAATAAATTTCCCCTTCACTGCACCAAATCACAAAATCAGTAGTTGAAAGAGAACATTTTCAAATGAAGAACTGTTAAATGAAGAAAACTATTAAAAGAAATCATTTTCCAGGCTATGAGCCTGCATTAGCAATTTTACACTTCAGCCTCGCCTTCATGCCCAGCACAGAGTTTTTAAACGCTATTGATATACTCATAAACAATAAATTCACTCCCATATATTACCTACTTGGATGAAAGGCTATTAATTACTGGTAGACAGTCACACGGCATTTTAAACACCAGGAAGCTGATGGGGAATGTATATTACTAGAAAGGAAAAAAAGTGTTTTTGAACCAGAAAGGTGGGAGAGGAAACGTCAGTGACTACTGAATTAAATGGTCTTTTCCCGGAAGGCTCCGTATTCAGTGTTTGGGGGGTACGTGTCTTCCTGAACACGTGTTCTCACGCTTAGGCACCCCCAGAAGGAAGGGTGGAGGGTACTAGCAATCTTTCTTCTCTCACAGTTACGTGCATCCTCAGAATCACACGGAACTGGATGTCCCTTTGTCTCTCACTCAGATGATTTCAAGGAATTCAAGTGAGAAAAATGGCATTAGAGGAATAACGCTGAGTATGTCCCGATTTATATGAAGAGCAAGCAAATCATTTACGAATGTGAGCTTTTTGTTAGTAGTCGCAGCTCTGGAGCCACCTGGGACATCCTGGTGGGCCTCCTTGCTGCGCCTCAGCCCCGCTGCCGTGTGGGGCAGTGTGAACGCATCTCCTGGCCTGTGGTATGCGTAAGGCACACAGAGGGGAGCTGCTTCCACTGAATGTGTAAAAGGCAGGGATAGTCCCTCAGTGACTAATTTCAGACTTCTGAATATTGTCACCATCAATACACAGACAAACAAGTAGTGGGACAAGTTAATTTGTTGATATTGTGCCATTATGGCTTGTTTAGTACCTTGCGACTGTTTAAAAATAAGTGTATATACATTTACATGCTTCACACGCATCTCTGACAACTAACAGTTAAATAACATGATGAACAAGCTCTACCAGAGAGGTCTACGCTGCATATCACACTCAAGGACATGCAGTCATACCCCACAGGTAGGAGACAGAATTGACGTGAGGGTCTTGCTCTGCATCAGACAGAGGTTGAAGGGAATGTTGGGTTTGAGCTCCCCTTCACTAAAACTTTCTCCACATCAGAAATAAAATTGTTTCGCCATCATATCATTTGTTAGCTCGCTGGGGTAGCACTTTACCTTCTCTCAAGAACATTTCCTTGCGTTTACATTTACAGCTTGGCTAAGTGTTTGGCGGCCCAAGAGGCCGAGCTTTCGGGCCCTTGTGACTTTGACAAGCCTCCCTCAGGAAGCGGAATCATTTCTAGAGAAACTCTCGACTCTTCCTTGTACTTGAAGACCTTGAGGCCACTCTAGTATCAACTGGTCTAATTTCAATAGTGTATCTCAGGGAAAAGGGGGGATCAAAACAGGGGAGACCCAGGGTAATGTGAGATGGGGTAACGGCCAGTCTGTGGAGTGGTGAGAACACACACACATTTATCCGTCCAGTCTCCATCCCATACGGGTGCATTCCCTGACACCCCAAAGCAACCACAAAAGTAACAACAAAGCTACCTGATGACAGATCAGCGCAACATAAAAAGAATGAAGACACTTGAAATATTGCGAGAATTACCAAAATATGGCTCAGAGACACAAAGTGAGCGCATACTGGAAATGGTGCTGATGGACCTTCTGGACACAAGGTCACCATGAACCTTAAGTTTCTACAAAACACATTATTTGTGAAGCGCCAGAAGCAATGAGCAACACAATGAGGTGTGTCTGTGTACACAGTCATACGCTGTCAACTAGCTCAGTGCTACGGCAACATGATCTCAATAAAACTAGGAAGAACCAACCAAGTAACTGAAGACATCAGCAGCTGTGACTCAGGCACTGTGTTCCGAGTTGGGGTCACCATGTTTGAGCTGAGGATTTGATCTAATTGGTTTAAAATTCCGAACCCCATGCAGGTGATCAAGGGGCTTACACTCATTCATTTGCTTTTCAGTTGGTGGCACACAGCTATTATTTTTCCGTCAAAGCTTTGGAGTCCGCTGATTTTAATTATACCCTTTTATTTATAAAACAACCTATTCATGATTTGTAGGGATTTGACTTAATTTCTCATAGCCCTTCTGGTGTAAAAGTTCTGTAATTCTTGTTCAAAGCATAAAATTAATACGATCAAACCCCTAATAAATGTTTTCACTGAGTTCACAGAAATACATATTTACTTTAAAGCCAAATATATTTTCAGCATAATTATGATAACCTGATCTAGAATTAAGCAGCTCCATGCGTTTCTCCCTTAGTCAGCTAATGATAAATGTCATGAGCTTATTAGCTTAGAGAATCAAGCTTCTCCGCATGGTGAGCAGGTTAAACTCTGCGCTTCCCAATTTTCCTCAACATTGTTCTTTCAAGAACAGATAATTTGATTAATATTTTGGCCACAGCTGCAAATTGCCTAGCTGCTTTATGGTCTTGGCCGGCGTGCTGAAATGGAGACACCTGTCTCTGTTCGCCTCGTACGTGGGAAATGCTTCTGTAAACATGTGGCGTGACCCACTGTAGTGCTCTGCCTCAGTGCGGGCGTGCACGGCTGTCCACGTGGATGGCAAGAGCTTTTTTTCCATGTAACAGTGCAAGCAACGTCAACCCCACCACCGACAAGCTTCACCCAGAGTTCGGCTACACAAGACGGGATGAAGTCATTTACCAACTTCTCTTTTCTTTTCCTAGAAATAGTCCCAACATCTGTAGTAGATGTTTACATAGCTCATTAAACAAAACAGCTGTATAAGAGGCCTGTGGGAGGTCATGTAATTTAGGAGCTAGAGGCAATTCAGCAACTGGTTTGGAAAAAGGCACAGAGGAATGGAAGAAGGTGGAGGCTGCTTAGACCGTAAGGAGGAAAATTCTGAAATCATTTTCTTCCTGTTTAACTCAAGTATATTGCACAGAAGTGTCTCAACTACCTGATTCGATCATTTAAACTCACTTTATAGAAGGAGTTAAAGTTAAAGAGTTTAAAAAAAGTAGTGGTGTTTCCTAAAGGGTTCAAGCAATGCTTTTATTCCCATCAGTATGATGGATAAAGTGGTTTGTAAAAAGGCTAAGAGGAAGAAAGACCTGGGCTGGAATATCGTTGCTACCCTCCAAGGTGACTGGCTAAAAATATGCCCAAACCTATTTGTCCTTCGGTCGCCTCATGGAGATAATAATTGTACCTATGTTTGAAGGTTATTTTTATGATTATTGATCACAGTGCCTGGAAATATCCTGATTTAACATTATCTATTGTTAGTATCTACTTCGATTTGAAAAAGAGAAAATGGTGAAGTCTTGTAGGATAAACGGGGCCAACACATCTGATCTGGAGACAGAATTTCCTTTTTGGAAATCTGGCTAACACTGTTTTGATTAGTACCATGGGGATGATTTCAGTTTTGGCTCAATTTGTTTTAATTTGGAAGTCGAGGGAATATACGATTTTTGATGTCGCAGATGTTTCCAGGCTCTCTTAGGCAATGTAAGATTTCCCTGGCATGAGTCCTGTCATAAATGGTAACAGTGAGGAGCGCAGAGGAGCATGGGCGAGTGGGGTTCACAGTCTCTTACTCTATTGATGGAGCCCTCAAGGAAGTAGAGCAGAGGATGATAAAATACTATTTGATTGAGTAACTGCTG